AGACTCTAAAATTTACGTCATATCATATATACCTATTCACATATCTAACACTTTTCTTATAGAAGAAATCATTTTTTCATTTTTCCATTTCACTTTTACTATAGATATCCTCATTATTCCTATGCATTTTCATTTTTCCGCTGCACTAGAATATATATACCTATTCACATATCTAACACTTTTCTTATAGAAAGACGCTCAAGTCAAAAATGTTATTTTATGCATGATGATATACATTAAGTTGTTACACGATAAAGAGACCTATCTGTACTATACATAAATAGTGAATGCAAAAATGAAAAGGCAGCAGAGAAATGACTTCAACTTATAGGAATAATGCTCGAACAGGAACGAAAAATGTCTATCATATATATATCTATATACAAATACTTTTAGTGTACAGGAAAATGAAAAGACAACGGGAAAATGCTTTACTACAAAGGAAAAATGATTTCAAATAATAGTGAGAAGAACGTCAAAGAGAAAACGAATATGCCTCATCGAAAGATATGTTCAAAGTTTATTATAAAGTCAACTGTTTCAATAATCGGGGAGAGGAGGAAGTTGAACTTTTCGTTATACAGAATACTTTGATTTTGTTGTTTTTCTTATTGTTGTTTTTCTTCTTGTTGTTTTTCTATTGTATAGTGAACAGCGAGGAATGCACTTAAATTTGATTGGTGATTCAAAATTGTTTTTCTTTTTGATTGCTCGGTCTTTGGAGCTTTTTGAATATTTTTCACATTACACAAACACGAGAGAGAAGAAAGAGAATATTTGTCTTTCACGTTCGAATTGACTTCTTATCTATTAAAAATGTTTGGTCCATTTCAATCGAATTTTTCTCCAGCTTGTCGGTTGAAAATTACTTCAATCGAATAATCTTCCTTCGTATATTCACATTATTCTCATCGATTTTCATATTACCACTAGAAAAAAATACAAATTTAAGACGAAATCAATTTTCCTCTTTTCGTGGTCATTATTCCATCCTTCATAACCATTTTTCCTATGCAGAGTAGCATTATTCTGATCGATGTTCATTTTCCTGCTGAGGACAAAATACATATAACAACATGATGAAGTCATTTCTCCTCTTGTTATAGCCATTATTCCATTAATCTCAATCACTTTTCCTACGGAGAATAGGATTCTTCTCGTGCATTTTCATTATTCCGCTGATGAAAAAATATATGTAACTATAACATAAAATCATTTTCCCTCCTGTTATGGTCATTTTTCCGTTAGTCTCAACGATTTTCCCTATGAAAACTAGCATTATTCTGATAGATTTTCATTTTTTCGTTGATACAAAAATATATGTAACTATAAAATAAAATGATTTCTCCTCTAGTTGTAGTCATTATCCCATTATTCTCAACCATTTTACCCATGAAGAATAGCATTATTCTCGTGGATTTTCATCTTTCCCCTGATGAAAAAATATATATAACTAAAACATAAAATCATTTTTCCTCTTGTCATAGTCACTATTCCATTATTCTCAGCCATTTTTCCTATGAAAAATAGCATTATTCTGATGGATTTTCGTTTTTCCGCTGACCAAAATAATATATGTAACTATAAAATAAGATCATTATTCCTCTTGTCATAGGCATTATTCCATTATTCTCAATCATTTTTCCTATGAAAAATAGCATTATTCTGGTGGATTTTCATTTTTCCGCTGACCAAAAAAATATATGTAACTATAAAATAAGATCATTATTCCTCTTGTCATAGGCATTATTCCATTATTCACAATCATTTTTCCTATGAAAAATAGCATTATTCTGATGGATTTTCATTTTTCCGCTGACCAAAAAAATATATGTAACTATAAAATAAGATCATTATTCCTCTTGTCATAGGCATTATTCCATTATTCTCAATCATTTTTCCTATGAAAAACAGCATTATTCTGATGGATTTTCATTATTCCGCTGACCAAAAAAATATATTTAACTATAAAATAAGATCATTATTCCTCTTGTCATAGGCATTATTCCATTATTCTCAATCATCTTTCCTATGAAAAATAGCATTATTCTGGTGGATTTTCATTTTTCCGCTGACCAAAAAAATATATGTAACTATAAAATAAGATCATTATTCTTCTTGTCATAGTCATTATTCCATTATTCTCGATCATTTTTCCTATGAAAAATAGCATTATTCTGATGGATTTTCATTTTTTACGCTGACCAAAATAATATATGTAACTATAAAATAAGATCATTATTCCTCTTGTCA